ACTACTAAGAAAAGAAAAGTTGTATGCCAAATTCTCCGAATGTGAATTTTGGGTTAGAGAAGTACAAATTTTTAGAACATGTAGTTAGTAACAAAGGGATTCATGTCGAACTCTCCAAGATTGAAGCAATCAAGAATTGGGAAGCACCAAACACGCCAACAGAAGTGCGTCATATCTTATGGCTTGTTGGCTATTACCGTAGATTCATAGAGAATTTCTCCAAGGTAGCCAAGCCGCTTACAACACTAACCCAGAAAGATATGAAGTTCAACTGGAAAGACAAACAAGAAGCTGCTTTCAGAAACTAGAGAAAATGTTGTAGTGCAGCAATCCTATCCCTCCTAGATGGGACAGAAGATTTCATCGTATACTGCGACTCATCAAATCAAGGATTAGGATATGTGTTGTTGCAAAAAGGGCAAAGTTATTGCTTACACATCTCGACAACTTAAGGTGCATGAGAATAATTACACTACCCATGACCTTGAATTGGGAGCTGTAGTTTTTGCACTGAGAAGTTGGAGACACACAATTGGCCAGAGAACATATAGGTGATACCTTATGTGGCGAGCCAGAAATAATCCACGAGACAAACTCAAACGATCGTGCAAATTAAGGATCGATTAAAGGCAGCACGTGATCGTCAGAAGAGTTATGCTGACGTAAGACGTAAGCCTTTAGAATTCCAAGTTGGAGATAAAGTAATGTTAAAGGTCTCTCCTTGGAAAGCTATAATTCGATTCGGGAAACGAGTCAAACTAAACCCATGGTATATAGGACCTTTTTCTAGCAAGAATTGGTTCTGTCGCATACCAACTCAAGTTTCCTCAAGAACTAAGTAATGTGCACGATGTTTTTCACGTATCAAATCTCAAAAGATGTTTATTCGATGACATTCTTGTTGTACCTCTCGACGAGATACAAGTCAATACCAAACTCAACTTTGTAGAAGAACCTGTCGAAATCATGGATCGATACGCCAAACGATTAAAACAAAGTCGTATTCCCATAGTGAAAGTTCGATAGAACTCTTTACGAGGACCTAAATTTACTTGGGAATGTGAAGATCAGATGAAACAAAAATACCCCCAACTATTTAACAAAACCCCATCTATAAGATAAATTTCAGGACGAAATTGTTCTAACGGGGGGAGAATGTAACACCAGTCAAAATAGGTCAACAACAATCACATGTGATTGTGCCAATCATGTAATGTGATTTTGTTAAACTAGTAATTTGATAAACTTACTATGTAATTCATGTTAAAGTATGAACATTCATACATAATTTATGATACAACTCAAAGTATACGTCCATACGATTCCAAAAATATAGAGAACGTCTAAATCTGACTTCGCGTGAAGAAGTTATGATAAACCCGAACAATATAAATCTCTATAATAATAGGAATTTAAAATAGACTTAGAATTAGCTATTGGAGTCTAAAAGAGAGTTGTAGTAATCGTAAATACCTACGTGTGCATATAAAGAACGTCAAAAACGGAGTTCGTATGTGAAAGTTACGACCTTCTGAAGATTCAACTGTCAGAAACCCTAATATGACTGAGGCTCACGCCGTGAGCACAGAAACTCACGACATGAGGAGTCATTTTGCCACATCTCGGAATCTAGAAGGTGTGTGACGAGGCTACGAGGGGATAAGATCCAAACTCACGACGTGAGCAAGGATATCTCACGACGTGAGGAGTCACATGGCCACCTTCTGAAGCTAGGGACGCAAATGGCAAGTCTACGGGGTGACCAACCATGGCTCACGACGTGAGACTATATGGCTCACGACGTGAGAGGCCAAAAATCTTCCTATAAATAGCAGGTCCGACCTTGACACTTCCTTACACCATTTCCCTTTCTCCTCTCTCATTTGATGAAGCCCTCTTGCATCCCAAGCCCCGGCGGCCTCGTACCGCCGACCGTTTCTGCTTAGATTACATAAAATCACGCTACTAGGGTGAGTTTCACATCCCCACTTTCTAATATTTCGGGGTGAAATGCATGCTAAATATTGTATATACGTTATTATTATGTCTACATGATAGTATATTAGTATCAACGTAGATTGTTATAATAATCGGGATATAGTTGTTCTAAATATAATATTTTGAATATATACAACTATTATCAACTTGTTAGCATGTTCTTGTACTAATGTAGATCTTGAGTTATACTTAGGATTCTATATATATATATATATATATATATATATATATATATATATACATATGTTGTGTGCGATATAGTTCGGAAGTTCTATATGTTAAAAAGTATACTGCTATTATTGGTTTTATGACAAGATAAAAACTTGGTATGTTATATATTGTTATTGTTGGTTTTATGTTAAGATAAAACCTGGTTTTTCCTCAAGTTATAGTGGTTGTACTGCCTAAAGTAATATGTACTTAGGAGTAATGTTTAAAGGCATAGTCTAATAACTTAGGGTTTTAGCCATGAAGATGCTTTTGTTGTTAGAGCTATAGGAAGCCGTTGGAGTCTACATGAGTAATTGTATTCATCAACTAAGATTGGGGATCTTAGCGGAAATCCTCTGAACTGTAACCGTTAATCCTGTGTGAGCGAGGAAGTCGTGTATAATTAGTATACGGGTTGACCACCCCACTTGTGATTGTTAGCTACAGTCAACCATAAGCGAGTGACGAACTATCCTTTTACTTGTTATTGTTCCGGCATCGATGAAGCGTACGGTGTTGTCCTCATGGAAATCATGAGTGGGTTGTCCTCATGGAAATCATGAGTGGGTTTTATCAGAGGTATTATGTCATAGCAGCGGTTACAGGCTCGTGGTAGCAAATTGTTAGAAACATTATACTTTGTCGTCATACAAGTATAAATGTTAAGTATAAGTTTCCCCATACTTATACCCTAGGTACATGGAACGTTTAGGTATATCACTTAATTGATAAGTAAACTATTATACCTAATATATGTACTAAACGTTGGAGAGTCAAAATGATACTTTCAAAACTATACTTTTGAATTTGGAAAAGGTATTATTTTTATACGGAGTCAAAACCTGTGGACTCACCAACTTTATGTTGACGTATTTTAAAATGCATGTGTTTTCAGGAACTTGAAAAGCTGGTATGTATTCGAACAGGAGAAGTTTTACTATTACCTTCCTGTTCGTTAAGAAGTATACAATAGTCGGATATTATGTAATAGGTTCTAGAAAAACAATAATGTAACTTTCAATCATCAAGAAAGGTATGTATTTTCTTTAGTTCTGTTCAATGTATGTTATATAACTGTGATACGAAGAATGACGTTACACCACCCGGTGTTTCCGCCGACGGCTGGGGGTGTGACATTAGGATACCTTTTAGAGTTAGATCTAAGGATAGGGTAAAGTGTTGTAATGATTAAGACCTTAAAAATTGAGTTTTGGGATAGGTCACGTACGCCGAGCGTAATTCTAGCTACGCTGGAATTGCGAACCCGATCCCTTCCTGCCTTGCACTCTACGCCCAAAGTAGAGCTTAGTACGCCGTACGTAACGGTCAGAGTGCTGACCTTTGACTTTTGTTGGCTTTTTGACCAATTGTGCCTTATGTGGATTTGTGATGGTTTTTGGGCTTGGAAGGGGGGAAATGGTCTTTTTACCTAAATGTGGATGAGACTTAGCTTGGGATTAATGGAGTACAGAAAATTACCTTAATTATTAATTAGGGTTAATTGTTGTAATTAATAGGCGGAGTCTAGTTCCTGCAGTTCGGGTGTGAGTTCTATCAATCATCCGTGCAAGGTGAGTCTCCTCACTATACTTACCTGTGTGGTAGAATATATGTGTTGACCAGCTGGGTCTATTTGGTGTTATTGTGGTATGTGTGTTATTGTGTATACCGAGACACTTCGTGTAGTCTCCAATTGCTGATAATCCATAAGGTGTGTTGTTTGCCCACTAAGACTTCGGGTAGTCTCCAGGGTTGCTGATAACCCATAATTGTTTATTTGTGTTGTGTTGTATGTGATACTTTGGGGAACTCACTAAGCTTCGTGATTACAGTTGTTGATTAAATGTGTTTCAGGTACTTGTGATGATTGCGGGAAGGCGGAGACTTGATTGTACATATTTGCTTGCAGTTTTATTTCTGGATATTTTTGGACACTCTGATATTTTGATGATGATTTGTATTTCACGCTAATTTTCTTGGGATGGTTTTTATGAACAATGTTTTATGTGAATTTCTAAATGAAAATTTTGGTTTGAAAATTTGGATGTTACAATTTCAAATTAAAGTCTTCTTGATGGCAGCATAGATGTTGTTTCCCTAAAATTGTCATACAAACAAATGATGGATAAAACTATACAAATGCAAACAAAAGTGAGATAACTTAGCTTGACAGGGTGATACCTTCTTATCCATTAAAACAATATCAATATTGGTCTGTTCAAATGACTTTAAGTAAACATGTTGCTTACATAAACGAACAATCTGACCCTTGAACTTCCATTTGATGGCATCAATATTGATGTCATTACTTAAATGATAGTGTGCACATGTCTCAAGCACTACCACAGTTCCAACAGATATATATACAACACCAATTATATCTACAATTGATAGACCGCATGTCTCATTTATATAGACAAAAAACATGTTATATACTAAATTAATAAGGACACGGTTGAATAGCTCAACTGGTTACAATGCAGTGTGAACAACCAAAAACGATCACCAAAAGATCACAAAATTTCATTAAACGTCCAAATACAACACGTAACCACAACTAACCGAAGAGTCGCCATAATCGAACATCATGTCGGAAAACAAAGGCGCTCCAAATGCTATTATTTCCAAATAAAGCTCCATTAGGCACGCTAGGTGGTCCACAAACACGCTTCTGGTGATAAATCAACAAAATCCTCTAAAATTTTATAGATAGAGATTATTTATTATTATTATTATTATAAACAAACAAACAAATGTCTTTTTTCCAAAAGAAAATAAGAAATGGACGTAGCATGTGCATTTCACATCCAAACACCCCTCCCGGTATATTTACTTGCGGTGAAAGAAAGAAAGTGGCAACAAAGCCACCGGTGGTAAGGTTCGTCGTCACTGTAAACCCTAATTATCGTAAGTTTCAATTCCTCTTTCACTAGTCATAAATCGATCATGTGGTATCACATTATTGATTGCATCTGTATTTCATAAATCTTGTTTCGATTAGGGTTTTGGGTTACTAAAGAAAAAAGAATTACTAGCGTTAAATACCCACTTGTTTAATCCGTGTGTGTAATGAATTTCCCTTCAAAATTTCTTTGTTCTGCTTCTCTTGAATCGATACATGAGTGTTGCGTGGAGATCCTTGATATGAGTTCTGCATTGTTCTATATTTCAGTATCGACTCTAGGGTTTAATAAAAGAGCATCCTTGATATGATTTAGTTGCAGAAATGATAGGGTTTTTTTATTGCTTCTGTTCCATGCTCTTCAAGGAAGATGTAGAGGCTTAAAATCGTTATTTAGTCCATGAAGATGCTTTCCTTTTTCCGTGTGTACGATTTGATATTGATTTCATATTCCTCCATCGTTATCAGGTCCCTCTCAAAATGGCTTATCTTAGTAGAATTGGCAATCTGCTTAAACAATCAAGAAGCAAGCATGTCAGTATGGGATTATCTTCTTCAAATTCACTACTTTTCCAGTCAATCGGAAACATGTCATCTGCTAAACTCTTCGTAGGAGGTGTATCATCATGTTCTTTTTTCATGTCATATATACATGTCTCCCAAAACAATGTCCCAAATAACAAATTTGTATAATATCCTATGCAGGTCTTGCTTATTGTAACATCCCAAAATACATGACTAAAAATTTCGTTTTAAAAACATTACTTAAACCACAATTGTCAATTCATAACATAAATCATAACATAAAATCATAATGTGAATTCAAACATAATCTTCTTATCAAAGTAAAACATCCCAGGCTGACTAGTTATGGTGTGTGCCATGCGATCATCCCGAGCTCTACTCTCCGCTACCGGAAATACTTGAAACCAAAACTGAAAACTGTAAGCACAAAGCTTAGTGAGCTCCGCCAAACTACCACATACCATACAATAACATATAAAGCACATATTGGGCCTTGCCCACTGCATCGAACCGAAATACGGACTAACTGGGGCCTTGCCCCCTGCATCGGACCGAAGTCCGGACTAACTGGGGCCTTGCCCCCTGCACCGGACCGAAGTCCGGACTAACTGGGGCCTTGCCTCCTGCATCGTACCGAAGTCCAGACTAACTGGGGCCTTGCCCCCTGCATCGGACCGAAGTCCGGACTAACTGGGGCCTTGCCCCCTGCATCGGACCGAAGTCCGGACTAACTGAACATAGCATAGCATAATCATAACTACTAGCATAAACACATGTACTGCATACTGCATCGGACCGAAGTCCGGAACACATAACACAAAAACATGCTTGAATCACAAAGACATGAAGCACACTGAACTACTGCATCGGACCGAAGTCCGGAACTACTGCTAACTAAACGGGCCGGCATTGTGGCCGTAGACCCGTTCCTACTGGAAGGAAAACTCACTTGTACTGCTGAACTCTGCTGATAATCCTCTGGCTGCTAATCGACTATTCTCCGAAGCGCTGCTCTCCTAGCTCACCGAGCTACCAACACCAAATAATAGAACTTAGCCTAAATTGTCCTCCAGAGGTCAACTAAGTCAACTCTGGTCAAGGTCCTGGTCAAAGTCAACCTTCCAGTTGACTCGACTCGCCGAGTTGTTCTACCAACTCGCCGAGTCCATGCTCTTCAAATCCCAAACAACCTCGACTCCACTCGTCGAGTCTAGCGAGAACTCGACGAGTTTTCCTTCATCTAACGCTTCGGGACTATCTTCAACCGACTTGCCGAGTTGTTCTACAACTCGCCGAGTCCATCTTCATCGGCTAAGAAGATTGCCTTGGACTCGCCGAGTTCCTCCTTGAACTCGTCGAGTACCATGATATTCATGTCCATCACAGACACAGACTGGTTGGATCCTTTACTAACTCCACTCACTGATCTGTATCATAAACAGAAGGGTTTGGGTTTGCGACCCGACTCGCCGAGTCCAAGACTGACTCGCCGAGTCCATCTTGAGACAACTCTATTCTGTCGATTTCAGTCTATTCCAACACTCCTAACTCATAGATCTGGACTCCTTATGCTAGCATTGCACGTAAAGTTGCTAACTTTATGTGCATGCAAGGTGCTATGAGGCTAGAACACCAAATCCAAGGTAATAAGAAGTTCAAGGTCAAGACATGGAGCCTTAGCTAGATAAAGCCAACAACTTTGAGCTTCTAGAGCTCAAAAGTGTCCAGATCTAATGTCCAATCCATCCTCCAAGGATTATCACCCGGATTCCACTTGGGAATGGTCCAAAAGTAACAAAAGATAAGCTAGAAAAGGGATCTAGATGATTAACAGCCAAGGTATAAGCTTTATACCTTCAAATGATCTGGAATGTCACCCAAACTCTGGATCTATACTCCTTTCCTTGCTCCCTTTCTTCTACAATCTTCAAGATGCACACCAAGAGCCTTAATCTTCTCACACAAACTCAAGAATGAAGTTGGGAGGCTAGGATTTCGTCTCTGGACAATGGAGGCTATAAATGAAACCCTAGAAATGAGAATGAGATGCTTAAATAGGGTGCCAAGTCCCGAAATTAGGGTTTCTCAACCCAGACCAGACTCGTCGAGTCAGTCTCCCCGACTCGCCGAGTCGGTCACTTAATCCGCGACACGGGTCACGCTCCGACTCGTCGAGTTCCTCCTTGGACTCGACGAGTTGACTCCTTTGACTAAGGGCTTTTCTTTCCTTTCTTGGTCCTTCGGATTCTGGGTGTTACACTTATGCAACTGATGAAAGGGGATTAAAAGAAGCTTTTCAGCAATATGGAGACGTGATAGATGGTATAAATATCTATGAAGATCAGAGAATTTGAACTCTATAAATAGAGTTCACTTATATCATTAGATTTGGACTTATTTTAACTGTTTTGATTTTTGCAGTTAAAGTCATCACAGATCGTGATTCTGGTAGGTCTCTTGGGTTTGGATTTGTTAGTTATACATCTGCTTATGCAGCTAACTCTGCTCTTCAGGACATGGATGGAACGGTATTATATATCTTTAAGTTTTATAAAATTTGGGTACTTGAAAGTTTTGATTTTTTTGGTGTTCTTTTTGTATGATAATTATGAAACCCAACTGTACTAATTGTCATTCTCTCATGGTTTGGTTAAAAAAAACACAACTTTGTATTTCAATTTTGGTCATTGTACGTTTCATGACGCTTTTAGTCTCCGTACCATGTACAACGACTATTTTGCCCTTCATCTGAGTTTTTTACAAGTTTATATAAAACCATGATATATGAACAAAAATAATCATTTTATGTAAAACTACAAGCTAACTTATTCTCAAACCTAAGATAAGGGGCAATGTAGACATTTTATATGGGGAAAATATCGGGTATAGACATTATTTGGGGTTGAATTTCAAAATATAGACACAAAAATTTGAATTTCCGGATATAGACATGGATTCCGCGAAGGTAGCTCCGCGGAATCCATTGTAGCTCCGCGGAATGGCAAAATCGTAAATAAATGAGGAAATTTAAGAAAAAAAACAAAAACAAAAAACTCAAGATCCATTCCGCGGATCTACAGTGGATTTCGCAGAGCTCCGCAGAGATAGCTCCAAGGAATGGATCTTCAGAAAGAAAAAAAAAATTCACCTCCAATGATTCTTTTATGTAAAGATCTCCAATTAAAAGACCAATTTTTTTCCAACTCACATTCATTCCAAACATTGTCAAGAAAATTCATACTATCATAATCCTTTCTTGAAAATAATTAGCCGGGGAATGAATATAAACCCCGAAGAATCGATTTGAAAAAAAAAATCTGAAGATTCATTCCTCAGAGCTACCTCCGCGGAATGAGTTCATTCCTCGGAGGTAGCTCCGCGGAATGGATCTTGAGTTTTTTTTTTAATTCCCTCATTTAATTACGATTTTGCCATTTCGCGGAGCTACAATGGATTCCGCGGAGCTACAATGGATTCCGCGGAGCTCCGTGGAGCTAACTCCGCGGAATTCATGTCTATACCCGGAAATTCAATTTTTTGTGTCTATATTTTGAAATTCAACCCCAAATAATGTCTATACCCGATATTTTCCCTTTTATATGGGACAGGGACGAAAAACCTTATGAAACCCTGCAATAGGGACCAATGTTGAAAAAAACTTATCTTTTGGACCCAACCAAAATAAAGTGCAAGCCACGAGGACTGAAATTTTAATTTAGTTTAAAGACTTTCTTGTTGGCAATGAGTTTCAGGAACTCGATGGTCGAAGGATTAGAGTGAGTGTCGCCCTAGAGTGGCCTCGTCCATCATTTTATGGCGGTTATGGCGGCCCTGGTGGCAATGGTTATGGAGCAAGTGGTGGTGGCACATATGGAGGAGCGGGTGCTATGCAGTCTATCGTGGCGCTATAGCGATGCTATAGTGGTGTTATAGTGGCGGTTAGCGGAGGTAAAGAACCGTGGTTTTCAAAATAATGCTTTGGAATAGCGGTGGTGCTATTAGCGCCACGATTTACTGCTATTTATCACAATTATGGTCACTGCTATAGCGACACTATAATTGTTATTCGAATAAATTCCATTTTTGGGCTATTATAAAGAAAATGTTTTTTGTGCCATTCCAATGAATAAAATTGTTTTTTCTTAGCCCAAACCAAAACTTTTTTTTTGTCATTCCATTGAACAAAATTGTGATTTTTGTAACTGTGATGGCTTCCATTGAAACCATGTATGTGTTATCTTGCTAATTGTGTGAAAACTTGAAGTACTACAATAACTCTCAAAATGTTTAATCATTTTATTTGATAGCTGTGATTGTGTTGAATTATGGTAAAATGTTAAGTATTGCTTATTTTTTCTTTTTGATTGTGTTAAAGTATGATTAACTGTGACATTGGTAACCATTGGTAACCGACATGTGAAGTATGATTAACTAATTATGATATGTGAAGTATGATTTACTGATTAACTGATTAACTGGATTTGGTTGATCTTTGGAATATATAAATTCTACAAAATATAAATTATACATAGTATAAAAAAACGCTATACCACCGTCATACGGCCGCGAGAACTGCGATCTCAAATAGCGGCCGGTGACCGCTATTATATTTTTGACCGCGATAATTACATAGAGCGGGTCGTTATAGTGGTGGCAACAGTAATATAGGTGGGTATGGCGGTAGGAATCAAAATGTTTGTGGCATGAATGATCTTTTTAGTGGGGTTTTAGGTGGCAGAGGTGGTGATGTCGGAGTGTCACTTGGCTGCAATGAAGGTGGTGGTGATGGGAATGTGAACCATGTTGGTGAGGATGATGCAGAAGAGAATGATGATGATTATGCCAATATTTCTAACAAGTGAAGATGTGAATATGATTCTACTAGTGGCTAGATTCCTTTGGACTATTATACCCCTGTGGTGAATAAAGATGGTGACAAGAGTTGATGTTTTTTTCCGTTTAGAATAGAAAATTGAAAGTGTTATTTTTTGATTATTCACGAAGTAAATATAAGAACATGGATTTCCGCAATAATCGAAATAATATTCATTGTATATTAGAACAATTTCCGCATTATGTAAGAAAAGTATTTAGGCCTTCTTTGATTTACCTCTTACTGGTCCGGTAAGAGGTTATCTCTTACTCGGTCTAGTAAAGGCGTTTGATTACAAGACTTTTAACCTCTTACCAAGTCATTATGCCTCTTACCCGGTCATTTCAAAATTATAGCCGACAGAGTCATTAATTTGGTATACTCATTTCTAACTATACGTTGCTACGTACAAACACGATTATATCAGTTTTTCATCTGGCGTTCAAAGGAGAAGCACATAGCGTCGATTGATGCATAGTCATCTCTACCCTTCGCCAGTCGATCACCACTGTCGGTCGATCACCACCTCTAGTCGGCCTCCACCCATTGCATCATAAGAAGACGGTAAGTCTGCAACTGTTTTTTCTTGTTGTTTTTTGAATAGGATGAAACGAAACCATGGTATCTGTTTCTTGAAATCAAATGCTATTTGTTTCTAGAAATCAGATAAGATGTGGTCGAGCGGTATGAATGATATGAATTGTTGCTATGAATGATATGAAATCAAAACTTCAACGGTTGTCATTTGTGTTCTAGAGCATATTACATGCATATATGTTGAATTGTTGCTGAAATTACTTGTTATTTGCGATGTATGATCCAAAATCTGAACTATATTTGTTGTTATTTGTGTTCTAGAAATCAGATTACATGCATATATGTTCTAAGTATTGTTGAAATCAAAAATTTTATGTTTGAATTATAAACTTGTATGAGAAAATATGTTTTCTTGAACTTGTATGCTGAAGTTTTTTTTATAATTTTATCATTAAATTTACGTAGACATGTCCCAAGAGAGGCCTAGAATAGTTTGGAAGCAAGACGGTGTCGATAAAACTTTCTTGATGCATGTATATATGAAATTGCTAGTAATGATCGGGAAGGTAGTAGTTTGAAAGAAAATTCATGGAAGGTAGTACCGGAGAAACTAAAGAACGAAAACAATTTTATAGTCGATCAAAGGCAAATGAAGTACTGATACAACTATTTAAAATCAAAGTATGAAACTTTAGAACAAAACGGGAAATGTTTATAATCATGACTGAAGAAGAATGACAAGCGGAGATGAAAGTATTAATATTTTTAATAGTAAAAATATAAATTTGATTATTTTTCTTAGAGTAAAAAACACGAATGGTCCCTTTGGTTTGGGGTAATTTGTATGTTTGGTCCCTATCTTATTTTTTTAACTTGGACCATCCCTATAGTTTAATTTTGTTACGTCGTTGGTCCCTAGCCGACTTAAAATGACCAATATACTCTTATCTATTATTTTAATTGTTTTTCTTTTTATCAACTTAATAAATAAAATTATAAAAGAAAATTTTAAAACAAATGTGGGCCCCTACTCTTTCTCTAATATCATTGTAGTGAAGAATGAAAAAGAAAACCTAAATCACCGCACCAACATCAGCTCCGTTTCCTCTTTCTCTCTCTCTCACTCTCTCTCTCTCTCTCTCTCTCTCTCTCTCTCTCTTCGGTGCACCTCCCCAATTCTACTGAAATCACGGCTACTGACGACCAAAACCTTCACACTGTTGTTCGACGATTGCGTTCAGGGGAAAGACGTTGCCCACTCATCCTTTCGATCATTTTCCCTCTTTTAGCCTAAACCAGCGAACCATCTAACCATCATTTGTCTCTTTTCTCCTCTCAACCGACAACACCCACAACCCACCTCAAGTACATGGCACCGACAACACCTTCATCTTCACTTTCGATGAAATTTCGGCGTGTAAAATTTGAAGACGGACACCTCCAACGATACCGTCTCCACAATCTGGCTCAAAATCTCCTATTAAAATTGGAACTAAAGTCGACCCCACACATTCGATTTCTTTTTTAATAAAACCAAAACTGAAGTCGGACCTCACGAACGCAACAAGGGTTGGAATACTTGGAAATCGTTTTTTTATTTTGGAATCATTTTTGTATTTTGGAATCGTTTTTATTTTTATGGATTTGAAATCAAATGATTTTTGTTTTCCAAATCTGATTCATCTTGTAGTGTTGATGGTGTTGTGTTGAATATATCGATGGTGTTGGGTTTTTTTAATCGTCGGAGTTAATGTGACAAAAACAGAGGAGGGTGAAGGAATGGGAATGGTGATTGGTTATATAGGTTATAAAAAACATGTGAGTGCGGAAAATCACTTAACATTTAAGGGCACATGAAACTTATAAGGATCTATGTCATAACATTTTGAAGGCAACATACAATGAATAACAAAACTAACATGAACCCTACTATAATCGAAAATGCAAGGTTTATGGTTACATACCTTTGAATTGTTATAGTAAACAATTGCTTCAATCCCTTCCTTTATAGATCTTGGAAAGCAAGCACCAAAAGTATGATGTCTCTAATGGGTCACACCCAAACCTTAGAACTTGGAAAGCATACGGAGTGAGTACGCCAGTAAACCCCCTAAATAAACATTATGATTTTGGTCATTTTGCAAATAAATAACATTTTAATATTTATACAATATTTTGCCTCCCATATCACCATGTTGAAATTATTTTTGTTAAATGTACTCTCGAATTCCCTCAATGAGTGTTGTTATTAGTAAATTGCATTCATGAACAGATAATTTTTGGATGAATTATGGAATATCAATGTTGAGTACATTCAACGAATATGAGGTAAATAGTGTCTTGCCCATTTTGCATGACCGATGTTGTCAAGCAACTCAAATGCGGCCAAGGGGGTAGCCAACAAAATGTTTCTTCAAAATCAGACATAGTATATGATTTGCATGTATGCCAAAGCAAATGTTCAAATGTTCTATTTCAAACAAATCTTGAGCATGTTTCCAATGTCATACTCTTACAACAATACTCATAATAAGAATCACGAAATACATGGCCTAGGGAAGAAGTTATCACATCGTCCATATTGGTTATGAACGATACTTCCCAACATCCCTGGGAGCTTTCTTCAACCTCATTAGAAACAAGATACAAGAGTCGACAATATTTATCACGCCTACACAAAATGATATAAGCAGGGTTTGGTTGTTTTCTTCCATAGTAACTGTTATGACATTGTTTGTAGGTATTCCCATATTAGAGGGACATTACCTATAAATATGACAAGCAACACGCAACCTATGAATGTATGAAATTGATTTTTTTTATGGCAAAATAAAACAATTAGTTGTAAAAACATTCAAAAATATAAATAAACAATTAAAATTTGGAACAAAATTATTTTACCACATCTAATAGCCACAAAACAAAGTTGGAAATGATCACTAACATCAATTTTGATGTTGGTGTAACTATGGGGGTTTGTTCTCCCAAAGTTATTCATGTAAACAAGCAAGTTTGACGAACTTTCTTCGTAAACATTGTTTGAAAAACTTATCTTGAAGCAGTTATAAAACAACACAATTACAGATTTTGGTTCTAAAGTTGGAATACACATGTTATATAGTGAAGGAAAATCTAGCTTTTGTTTTCCAAGAATGTGTGTCCGGGGTACGATATGCAATCCAGACTGTCAGTCCTATATGTATAGTTACGACTAGGGTGATCCGAAATTGACCATGTCAGTCCAAAAATATACACACACGTGTTCCGAAATCGAATCTCACGGCCTACCTACCACGTCATTCCGAAATGAATAGTAGTTTTTCGGGATATCATATTCCAGAGAATATAGTTATTTTTCCAAATTTTAAAAACATTGGTTATTTTTATTAAAAATATCTTTTATAACAATTTCCCAAAAATAAATGTCTTCTTTCCAAAAGAAATGGACGTAGGATGTGCATTTCACGGGCAAACACCCCTCCCCGTATATTTACTTGCGGTGAAAGCACGAAAGTGGCAACAGAGCCACCGGTGGTAAGGTTCGTCGTCACTGTAAACCCTAATTATCGTAAGTTTTAATTCCTCTTTCATCAGTCATAAATCGATTATGTGGTCTCACATTATTGATTCCATCTGTATTTCATAAATCTTGTTTCGATTAGGGTTTTGGGTCAATAAAGAAAAAAAAATAATACTAGCGTTAAATCCCCTCTCGCTTAATCCGCGTGTGTAATGAATTTCACTTCAATATTTCTTTGTTCTGCTTCTCGTGAATCGATACGTGAGTGGAGTATCGACTCTAGGGTTTAATAAAAGAGCATCCGTGATGTGATTTAGTTGCAGAAATGATAGGGTTTCAGTCGTACTTTGTATTTATTGCTTCTGTTCTATGATCCAGCTCTTCAAGGAAGATGTAGAGGCTTAAAATCATTATTTATTCCAAATATGTTATTTTTTTTCCGATTGTACCATTTTGATATTGAGTTCATATTCCTCCATTGTTATCAGGTTCCTCTGAAAATGGCTTTTCTTAGTAGATTCGGCAATCTGCTTAAACAATCAGGAAGCAATCATGTCAATATGGGATTATCTTCTTCAAATTCGCCACTTTTCCAGTCAATCAGAAGCATGTCGTCTGCTTAACTCTTCGTAGGAAGTTTAATATCATGTTCTTTTTCATCTCATCTATACATGTTTCCCAAATCAGTGTCCAGAATAACAAATTCGTATAATATCCTATGCAGGTCTTGCTTATGCAACTGATGAAATGGGATTAAAAGAAGCTTTTCAGCAATATGGAGAAGTGATAGATGGTATAATTTCTAACATCTATCAAGATCAGAATTTGAATGCTATAAAACTATAAATTGATTTTACTGATATCATTAGGGTTTTGATTTTTGCAGCTAGAGTTATCACTGATCGTGATTCTGGTAGATCTCGAGGGTTTGGATTTGTTAGTTATACATCAGCTGATGCAGCTAATTCTGCTCTTCAGGATATGGATGGAAAGGTATTATGCATCTTTAAGTTTAATAAAATTTTGGTCCTTGTAGTTTCCATTTTTTAACTTTCGATCAAAAAAAGATTTTTCTTTTCAATTTTGGTCCCAATTTCATGGTTCTATTATGTTTTTGTCAAAAACTGAAACATTCAACAGTTTTGATTTTTTTTCGAGGTTTTATATTGATTTTGGATTAAACACAGTAAAAACTATAGGGACCAAATTTGGAAAAAAGGTTATTTTTTGGACATAGACCAAAAAAGTGCAAATTACAGGGACCAAATCTGTAACTTAGGCTGAAGATTTTTTTGTTGGCAATGAGTTTCAGGAACTTCATGGTAGAAGGATTAGAGTGAGTGTTGCCCAAGAGAGGCCCCGCCCATCATTTGGTGGCGGTTATGGCGGCCCTGGTGGCGGTGGATATGGAGCTGGTGGTGGTGGCGGATATGGAGGAGCGGGTGGTTATAGTGGTGGTGGATATGGTGGTGGGAATCAAAATGCTGGTGGCAGGAATGATCTTTTCAGTGGGGTTTTAGGTGGTGGTGGCGGTGATGCAGGAGTGTCACCTGGCGGCAATGAAGGTGGTGGTGATGAGAATCTGAACCATTTTGGTGAGGATGATGTAGAGGAGAATGATGATGATTATGCCAATACTTCTAATAAGTGAAGATGTGTATATGACTCTACTAGTGGTTAGAATCTGTTGGACTATTATACCCCTGTGGTGAATAAAGGCGGTGATTATGGCGGTAGTGGTGGTTTTCCGGTGGAGGAAATAGTACAGGGGATGTTTTTTGGTGACTTGTGTTGATGTTTTCATTGTTTTGATTGGAAAACTGAAGTGCTCTGTTTTTGTTCAATCAAGTGAATATAATAAGTTAATAACATGGATGTTGTCTGGATCCATTGTTAAAAGAAGATGGAAAAAAAGATAACCACTTTTTTAAAGTCTTTTGACAAATGTCTAACTATTGAATTTCGCAATGGATTCATTAGGGATAATCATAAGTTTACCACATGATTATTCAGAATTAGGTAATTAAATGATGAAGTGGCATCAAACTTCCCATTTATGATATCATAATATGTTAAAAATTATTCGTCGAAATTTTCGTGACAAAAAATGATCACAATCTCATCCAAAAATCGTATTGATATTTTTAATACTTCCAATTCCTAACAACATCTACAAGTTTAGTATCTAACAAATTGTACATTTATAATAATTTACTTTTAGCCAAATTCTCTTCTGTTTGGTTAGTTCACAGAATAGTTCTATTAAAAATTAAAATCCAATTATGTATAAACTTATATCCAAATAATAACTTAATTGATCAGAAATCACCCTTTTACATTGTTTTTGAAAGTATATATCGACCATAACTATATTTTCCTTCTACATGCAATTTACCTTGAAAAACAACAAATTTAAATCATGGATAAAATGGTCATTTAACCTGTTTTCACACTGCCCAAAAAGGTTTTGATTTTGAATTATTTGTTAGAGTTTCTTCATTAGTTTCCTCAATGTCATCATCTTCTTCTTCATCTCCATACTCCATAAGACTGATTAAAGTTTCTAAAAACAATAATAAAACATAAGAAAAAAATATATATATAATATTCAAACTACAATGCTATAATACATCAATTATTGAGTTTGTAAACTTACCAGGTACGGATTTGGTTTCTGGTGTTTTTACGATATTGCCCTCGACCACCTTTGCTGTTGAATTAAATTTTGGGGGTCGTGGAGGGGGTGGCATCATTCCATTGGTCATCGGAATCGGAATCGGAATAGGTGATTCCATCTTTGTACTACTTTTGGAATTCACTTCATTTTGCTTCAAGATTCCTGATGCCTGCAACAAATAATAACCACACAATCCAAAAATATAAAAATCAAAAGTCAAAAAAAAAAAAGAAATTAGCCCTGGAAAGTAATTAGGCTTGGAATGACTGCAGAGTGGGTCTGGGTCCCGGTTAAAAAGCGCCACAGCAGCACCAGTTTGCATTAAAAACCCTGTGAAAATACAAATGTCCAACAGACAGGTCCAGTATCAGCTGTAAGGTCAGAGAAAATACCTGTAATATTAAGTAATAAAAGTCAGAACACCAAAATATAATGTAAAGAATTAATTAATTAATTAATCAAAGTATGAGAATCTTGAATTATCCTTTTTTTTTTAAAAAGTGATCATCTGACTTTTAAGTAACGTAATTCTGTTTTATGACTTTATCATTATCTGATTCTTTTTAAGAGTCGGATAAAAAAAATATTATTTGTAATTAAGTTTGATTCTAACTAAGATCATAAAAAACTAAAAATATTTCATCGCAAAACAAATGAAACTATATATTTTTAGATATAAGAGCAACCTAAAAAATTAAAATTAAAATTAAAAATTTCGGGTTCGTATATGAAAATATGTTAATGGTGGCCTCCATAGGAAAAAAAAATCACAAATTGAGTGTATTTTTTTTATAAAAAAAAAAAAAAAAAATTCTACTCTAATAAATAAAAATCTTTTTTTGCCACATGTCACACTCTCATTCATTTTGCCACATGTCATTTATGGTTTTTTTTCCATTTTATTAAATTCCACATAATATTTAAATGTAATAATAATTGTAATAAATGTATATCAATTTCAGTAATGCAACTTTCCTTCTAATTTTAAAATTCCTAAATTAAACCCCAATTATTTCCTTTGTTTATTTATTTAAATTTATAAGAGAAATGAGCATTTAAATTTCAATAATTCAATACTTTTCTCATTTTTCTTATAAATTCAAACTATTAAATGTTTACACTTTCATATTTAACTTCTTTTTTTTTTTGAATAAACATGTGTAATACACGGGTCTCACAACTAGTTATTAAATAAAAAAGCAGAACAGTCAACAAAAACCCGCCATGTGGCAACCGACTCCTTCGATGTTTTTTTTTTCTTTTTTCTTTTTTCTTTTAAATTATTTTTTTTTTTGTCTTTATTTGTGATTTGGTCACCAAATAATAATCACCAATAAAGATAGTTGCCCTAAACATTTAAAGGGTGAGAGCATATAGCACAGATACCTGGTGTGTTTTGAGCTGCCCGGGCTGCCCGTGAGCAGTGACGGGCAGTTCTTGAAACTTGCGTTTGTGAGTGTGAGTGTGAGGGGGTCGTTTTTCTTTTTCCATTTCTAAATTTGCATTTCCAATTATTTGGGTTTGGGTAGATATAATGGGAGATGTAGATTGCTTAAGGGCTAAGGCAACTTGTTGCAAAGGGGTAGCTTGTGGGTATATCCCACCATACCCATTGTAGCTCGTACCAGGAGGTGGAGGAGGAGGAGGAGGAGTTATATGTGAAATGACAGTTTTGCCCCCAGGGGTAGTAACGGAAGAAGCTGTTTCTAACTCACTTTGGACTCTGGTCAACAATGGCGGAGGTGGTGGAACAGCACCATAAACCTTACATGATGATACCCTGCAAAAGCAAAATGGTGTAATCAGAAATGACCCCTTCTAACAAGGGTGTTTTGGTCTTTTAGTAAAAAGAGAAGAACCCTAGGAATTGTGAAAAGGCCTAATGCCATAAAAGCCCTTAAGTTTGGCAGAAATGTTCGGTTTTATCCTTTTGCTTATTTCTGGTTCATTAAAGCTGGAAGTTTGCAATTTTTTTTTCCAATTTTACCCTTTTGCGTATTTTTGGTTCATTAAAGCCCTTAAGTTTGGCAGAAATGTTCGGTTTTAGTATTTCTGGTTCATTAAAGCCAGAAGTTTGCAATTTTATTTTTTCCAATTTTACCCTTTTGAATAATTCTGGTTCATAAAAGCCGGAAGTTTGCAAAAAAAAAATTACAATTTTACCCTTTTGCGTATTTCTGGTTCATTAAAGCCCTTAAGTTTGGCAGAAATATACAGTTTTTTGTCCTTTTGAGTATTTCTGGTTCATTAAAGCCAGAAGTTTGCAATTTTTTTTCTTCCAATTTTACCCTTTTGAATAATTCTGGTTCATTAAAGCCGGAAGTTTGCAACAAAAAAAAATTCCAATTTTACCCTTTTACGTATTTCTGGTTCATTAAAGCCCTTAAGTTAGGCAGAAATGTTCGGTTTTACCGGGTAAGCCTTCAAAAAGGGTAAAATTCAAAAAATAATAATAATAAATAAAAAATAAAATAAAATAAAATTCAAACCTCCGGCTTTAATGAACCAGAAATATGCAAAAAGGTAAAATCGAACATTTCTACTAAACTTAAGGGCTTTAAGTCATTATGCCTTGTCAAATCCATCAAACATGGAATTTAAAGGACTCTGAATGAATTGAATTCCGTCCATTTGGCACCATGGAATGAAATCTTGAACCGCAAACCAACCTTCTAACGCATGAAGGTATTTTGGTCTTTTGACAAAAAAGAAGAATGAAATTGAACTCCTTCCACCCTCCATTAGGAATGGAAGAATCCATCAAAATATGGAATCCAAGATTCCGGCCAAACTAAATTCCTTCCATTTGTCAACCAAACACACCACGGAATGGAATCACGAATTCCAATTCCACCAAAATCCAATATGTGAATACATGATGGAATGTTACCTAGAGGCACCACATTCTGCACATATTGTATCCAGAAGATTCTCAGCCAGAAGCTTTGCATGTTCAAGGCTTTTTGGATTACTACTTGACAAAAAAAGATGTAGTGATTGTTGTTCTGCAAGCAAAAAATACGAAATTTACAATTTAAAAAGTAGAAACAAAAAAAAAAGATATTACAAAATTAACATATATATAGTTATATGTATATATATATATATATATACTACTACCTTCGGAATTTGAAATTCCAGGGTTTCCTGAACCACGCCCTTTTAGTAAAACTGTTGATCCTGTTTCATTCATAATGTGATTTACATACTGATCCTGCATTTTCAAAACCCAACCAGAAGCAACACAAAAAGAACTCCCCCAATCGTATGGAGATGTTAGGGAAAGCTTAAAAATTAGAATCTTTCATCTTCATTAGTAATGCTAACATTATTAAATTAACACTAAACACATACTCATAAAAATGGATTAGAAGTTTATTGATCTTGAGTAAAAAAAATGGATACTTGGTTGTCATTCCTTGATATTAACCCTATACTGTGTGTGTGTGTGAGAGAGAGAGAGAGAGAGAGAGAGAGAAGCTCACATTTGGTCCACGAATACGGGCAATAATGTTCAAAGATGGATCTGGTTCAAAGCCCAAGAACACACATGTGCTAAAAGGGTGAACCACCTGATCAAAATTAAAAGTTTTCTATGTTCAAATTTTGGGAAATTTTCAGATATAAAATTTGATTAATTGGTATTTCACATTTTTCACCTTTAATCCATTGGTTAAAACACCTTGCTTCATGATTTCCTCTATCATGGCAGCTGCTTGATCAACTGCTTTTATCCTGTCTGCTGTTGTTTCCAACTACAGCAGAAAAGAAAATAAGTATTTTTTACATGTTTTCACCAGAATTATCATCATATGTTAAATATATGAATTCTTTTATACAGAAAGCACAAAGAAACTTACATGGGTGCCAGCTGAAACATGAAGATATAATGGTTTTTCACCATCAGAAGGTGCGTTTGGAGGACGATATTTACCCCTGCAGAAGTCCTTCAGTATCTTTATAAAGCAACAATAAGGAAAAAGGCATGAGATCTGATGTGAGCTACTTGCCTAGTTATCACTATGGCACCAGTGCATTTCTGAATCTGCAAAAGTTAGAACACCAACACCCTATTAATATTAAGTAATAAACTTGAAAATTCACTTCTACCCCAAAAAACATGTCTTATGTGTATCTCAGATTCTCAGCAGATTTCTCGGACATTAATGATTAAAGAGATACAAGAATGTGGAGTCTAATTCACCTCTTCTTGTGTTTGGCGTTTTGTAAGCTTGTAACGAATGGAAGACTCTGCATCATTTATGACAATTTCTCTAGCTATTAACTCCTCTTGAATCTTTGGCTACAAGAAGGATGTGCAGTTAATGACAAAAAGAACAAAAATCAAATGTCTCCATGGTATCTTACTTGAATCTTTTGGGCCAATGCAGTTGCATGCTGCTGCATTGAGGGTGCTGGAAAAAGCTGCTGTAAATGTCCATAACTAGAAGTAAGAGGATTTATCAAAGAAGCGCCAGAAGCTGGAGGAACACCAGGATGTGTGATCCCAACAAATGATCCCATGTTGAGCAAAGGAAGGACCCCAGGGACTGCTTCTCCCGCTGTCACCAAAGACTCAGCTGGCTGATCCCATTTCCTCTTTTTCCTGAAAAAAAGTAATTTGCAAAACCATAAACATGATGTAAACCCTAAATCGCTATCACAAATTCACCAATTAGGATAAATGACGAGCATAAACAATCGGCATTAGATGTAATTCTATTAGTAAGATAAGAAAACAAGCTTTTGATGGAAAATTTTGAGAAATTAAACGATTAAGAATGCATAAAACTAGGGTTTATAATGTAGGAAATCTGACACCTTTGCTTCGTGTTGGATGAATCGGATGCAGGCGTGGAATCAGGCATCGAAACCCTAGCGCAATCGTCTTCTGTCATGCTGTCGTGGCTTGATTGAGGTTTGCTTTATCTTTTGGGGTTACACAGACTCCGATACGAAGAGATTCTGAACACTGGGTACCCATTGGCTTTTACGGTTAGATTAATGTCTTTCCGTTAAATTTACACAAATCCTCCCTGGTTTGTGTACAAATTCCATTTACGCCCCTGTATTTTTAGAACGTACACTAGGAACCCCAAAAGCAACAAATGATAAGTCGATGATAAACTCGTGTCTTTTTTAAGGTGATTATTATACATTTTAAAAGCCGTTGCGGATTATGAACATGAACAAGTTTGGAGTCAGCTCAAATACCAGGTGGTTTGGAGCTGGTAGGATTTCGTCGTTGTGGCATTCGTCTGTTCCTCCACCCTTTCACCGTTATTATGCTCCAATGAATTTCTTCCACATCATATGCAAACCCTTCCATCCATCGATTTCCTTATGCATAAGAACACCTAAATTTCCTCATTTTCTTCATCTCTTTTGCTATGTCGCTCCACAATGACATCTTAATCACTTTTCTAAATCGATTGAGCCCTCAATCGTTAATTGGAGGTCGTCACCATCTCCTTTTGCTCCAATTGGAGATGGAGGCTAGCGAAACTCAAACCTCATTGATCTTGAAGTACAAAAAGGCGATATATGAGGCCTTTCATTCCATTCGATGCGGATGAAGATGCGAATAAAACTTACACCGATGTCTGATAAGTTAATCCTTAAGGGCCATAATCGATCATAATTGTTCTGGTAAAATTGTTTGTAATTGTTGTTATCCTTCGAAATATTCTAGGTTTTATCATGTATATAACTGTTTGTTCTAGGGTCATGTTCCCACGATCAAAGCTTCATCTACAATCAGTTACACCTTTCGTCGACCCCATGATAACTATGATCGATATACTTCAGATACCTTTCTGCGCCTGTTGCATAACATCAACGAAACCCTATTTTTATGAATTTCAGATGAAGCGACATCCTAACTGTTAGGGGCAGGATCCCATAATCGTATTCAAGATCCTTAATATTATTGAAATCTCAGGATCCTTAAAATACATCGTAGGATCCTGATATTTCCTAACGCTTATAACGGTTATGTTTTTCTCTCTCTTTTTCTCACATGTACATAACTATTTATCATGAGACTCATTCTCAACGGAGAGTCATCTCGAACAGGCAAAAGACCCGAAATACCAAGTCAAACTACGTTCTTATTGTGACAACCCGAAATATTTAGATCAAGCAAGGTCTAAATCTTAACCTTATACGAGTGAATTCACAACTTAACCTGATGCCCTAGAACTCTGAAAGCCATGAAGGGCAAGTTTTATATAAGTTGTTATATACTTAAACTTTGAAAACCATATGATAAATAACCCCTCGAAAGTAAACAAGTTTATTAGAGCAAAACTAGTCAAATGGTGAGAATAGAAATCATGAAATTTGAACATGGTTTAATTAATAAATAGCCAAGTACCCCACCCACCCTAGAACACCCTTAGACCGAAATCAACACCCTAGGACACTACAAAACCGAAATCACCCTAAATGGGCCATATCTTGGCCGAAAACTACCTTAGTGATCAATGTTTGGGCGAAAACATAAAGGGAAAATGGAGGGGACCGAGAACATTAAGTGGAGCCAAGTCTAGGACCGAAATCATGTATGATTTCGGTCATAATAAGGATATTTTGAAGGGTTCGCGGTCATAAGATGTGAATAAGACAAGGATAAGGGTGTTGACTTTGGATGTTATCCCCCATTTCCCATGCAGTTTAATATTCAACGTATATCCATGAAATTAACCAACGGATTCCCAAGTAAGTATCACATCAAGTTTCCTACTCCCTATATTTGGACGAATCCCTTCCAAAAATCCCCACCATTTCTTATCATTCTACCTTCTGTTCATTTCCATTCTCTCTCAAGAGTAACTCCCAGCTTCAAAGGAGTTAAAGTCTTCAAGCTTACTCTAATCTTTAGTGAGTATTTCATAAATCCCTAGTGATTTAATATATTTTCATGTCCATATCATCCTATTTACACACAAATTTTCGTGTGTTAAATTACTAGAAAACTAGCATCCAAGAAGCTCTTCAAGCTCTTACCAAGACTAGGCTCGAAATCTCTTCACAACACTTCAAATCATCCACCAAACCAAACCAAGGTGAGTTCATACCCCCATATTTTCAAGCTTTTTCCATGTTTTAGGTGGGAGGGATACCGTCACACCCCAAAACCGGAACGGCGGAATCGTTCGGGGGTGGAGGGCGTCATGTACAGTATCACAACAATGCATAGTAGTAAACAAGCAACAACATCATCCATTGCATTAATATTATAATTTCATACAAGTGTGTTCTTTGAAGTTTATAAGACACCAAAAATGTAAATAAAAAATAAGAGATCAGTCTTGAACGAGCTCCATCTTATCAAAACCTGGCATCGGTACCTGTCTACTGATGACTTGAGAATACAAGTTATTTTGAAATAGTTGATCAGCTTTAAAGCTGGTGAGTTCATAAGTATTTTAGTTTCATTATTTGTATGAAAGTGTTTGTAAGTACTTGATGTATAAGTTTGTAAATGTTTGTAAATGTTTGCAAATGTTTGTATCTCCTAGAAAATCCTATATTTTCTACTAAACGTAGCCTTCTACCAAGGCATCAACTGAAATGTATGTTTGTTTCTTGTAAAAGTGTGTATTTTCCCAAGTATGACTATCATTAACCAAAAATATAGTTTTACATTATCCTTTATGTGAAAAGATCACAATGTGAATGCAGTGGGAAAGTAATAAAGTACTGTAGTGTTGTATTATAGTAACTACTGATGTACTAATTACCTTAAACCAATTGTTATTTAAAGTAACATGTGATATGCATGTACCATACTACCGACTAAAACACGACGATGAAAGACGTCGGAAGAAATGACATTTGGCACCCGTAGACTTGCAAGTCCCACTGTAGCGAGCAGCAAGGTGTAGGATAGTCAATCCAGTATAGATCTATACACAAATTCAATGCTCTCCTTCTAGGAGATTCTGGATACAAAACGAGCCATGACAGGTGATGGCGTGCCCCGTTACGTGGCTCACATTTCTGTCGTAATGTTCTTGTATATGTATTGTATGTACTAGTGTAATGTATGTTCTCTCTGTCTAGTATGCTCTGTTTGTTTCTCATCATAGTATGTTATGTTTGTTTCTCATCATAGTATGTTATGTTTGTTTCTCATCATAGTATTCTCTATCTGTTTCTCGTTATAGTATGTACTGACTCATGTATGAACTGACTCATTGTATGTTTCATTGTTCTAGTAATAGTATTAGTAACTTCCTAAACTATACCTATTATAGTTTACTAGTAATGTTGTTTGTATGAATGAACATGATTGTATACCTTTGCTACCCAAAGGTATTGAACTGAATGAAGGAACTTTTATATCTATATACATATACATAATATACAATTAAGATTCAAACAACCTTCGGACAAACAACCGACACCCTAAGTCCACAACCAAATAAGGAACAAGAAGTAAGGTGAGCTATCAGTCCTAAGTCTTTTCAATCCTACTTATATAACTATATCTATATAGATACGCATTTGACAAAGTATAATTTTAACAGTGTTTAATAAAAGTATTTAACATGTAAAAGAGTTTGTAAAATGATTTGAAGTAGTTTGTTTGATAACACAGTTTGAAAAGTAAGAAAATCCATTTGTTTGGTAGTCATTAATCACATGTGATTGATATAATAACTATAATAATTCAACTTGTATTCCCCCCCATAAAAGCATTTAAAATCATTTAAAAGGTTGATTAAGGGGTATGTACTCACCTGTAGTGAGTGGTTTGAATGGAAGTGTTGGACAAGGTGCTAGGTGTCAAGTGAAGACTTGAACACACACAATGATCCTATTTAACATATAAAGACATATATATGTATCTAATTAGTGATTATAACACTAATTAAGCAAGTATAAACACCCTAAAACGTGGAAAACACTTTGGTTCAAGTGTTATAAGGTCATAGGGTTGCATCTAGGGGTTGTATTGCTTTGATTTAGATTTTACGGCCCAAGGACCAACTCTCCATGAGTTTACGGCCTAGGGTTTGCGGCCCTAATGGGTTTACGGTTGTAAACCCATGGTAACTTCTACCATTTTGATGTTCAAGGTCCTTAGTTCAAGTTGGAAGGGTTCTAGACCAAGTTTTAAGCCTTAGGAAGGAGTGGTGGCACATATGCACCACTAACTAGTGTTTACGGCCCAAGGTGGTTGCCTTGGCCGTAAACACCATTTGCTCTTGTTTCTTTTGATGTTTAAGGTCTTATACTCTTCTTGGAAGTATTCTAGACTTGGTTCCAAGGTTTTGGAAGAGATTAGGGCTCATTTGCCCCCTTAATTAGGGTTTACGGCCCAAGGTGATTGCCTTGGCCGTAAACACCTTATGATCTTGCGTTCTTGATGTTTTCTAGGTGTAAACTAACTGATTCAAGCATATAACAAGCTAAGGCAAGTGTACTTACAATATAGAAGCTTGAATGGGTGTTTAAGGCTCAAGAACACTAGTGTGTGTTCTTGGTGAAATGAAGAACACTTGAAGATCTATCAAAATGAAGAGATTTCTTGGATGAAATCATGTACAATCACTAGATGTTGTAATATATCAACTAATCAAGGAAGGAAACACTTACAAAGTTGAAGATCAAGAAGAAAAATCGGATGATACTTGAGAGAGAATGATTTCTAGGCTTGAAAATGGTAAAAATGACTAAAATGGCTAAGTGTCATATTTATACTCTTAGAGTTTACGGCCGTAAACTCCATGTTATGGCCGTAAACTCCAAACTCTTGGAGTTTTGAGACTTAAATGTTGCACAATAACTCTAGAGTATACGTCCTATAATTTCCTCTTGAAGTACTAGGCTTTAGAACACTCAAACGGCTCTAAACAGTGCTAAAAGTTTACAGAAATGAGTCTGACTTCTATTGCAGTGAATGGTTGTACAAGATAGAAATTTCGAGTTGTCACAGATACAAGTAAAACTTTGTTTATCCCATAAATAATTT